CTATTAAGTAGTACATCTTAAAGAGTGTTTGTAGATTTGAAAGGGTTAATTACACAGTCACATTGGGTGCTAACTGGTCTGTGGGGATGTGTGTGAGAAATGAGTCCAAACCTGTAACTGTGAATACTAGTTGGTGTTTACTAGGTCCCAGTCATGGCCTCAGATGATTGCCGTGGGAAGGATTTCGCTCTTGATGATATGGTACCTTCTAGACCTGCTTGGTCTGATAGGGTTATTTCTGTCCCATTTGTGCTCATAAGGTAAAAATAGATACATTAAGAATACTAATAATCATTTTAAGAGAAAGTCCATTTTCCCTTTTATTTTAAAAGATGTACAATTGCTCTTTATGTGGACACAGCTTTTTTATGGTTTAAGTTTAGTTAGGGTAACTTAGAAGAAAGAGTAGCTGAAGACACGCGTGGGTGCCTGTGCGTGAACGTGAGCGGCAGGCCCGCTCGCCACTTGGCTGGCAGACAGATCCCCACACTGCTGGGGAACTTCGGCCGGCCGGAGCGCTCCTTGAGCCTGAGCTATCCAGACAGGGTGCTTGGCGCTGGGCACCTGCTTTTTGCGGGGCCGAGCGTGCCCGTGTGATGAGCCTCGACAGAGTCCTGGGGTTCCCGTCTCCGTGGAGCTCTTCCTGTCCTGGAGGAGCCCAGCGTTTGCTGTGTGCCCCGAGGCGGGAGGGCCTTGGAGCTTGTGCTGGATCCCTCCAGACTTGGCCCCATCTGCCTTTTCCATTGCGGCTTTGCTTGGTTTCCATCCACGTGAGCGTTGTGAATCCCGGGCCTGGGAGGTCTTGGCGACCCAGACACGGCGCTAACAGACGCGAAGGGCCGAGCACTATTCCTGCCTCTTTCTGTACCCCATGCAGTGCTAGTTTCTTCTATTAGCTGTTTCTTATTTCAAAATAAAATCTCTAAACTGCTGTTTCTTGTCATCCTGGTTGTTGTGTTGTCTGCTAAGCTGATGTGATGGATGATCCCCAGCCCTGACTTGATATTTTCTTTTTTTTTTTTTCCAGGAAGGAGTTTTTTATCTTTTTATTTTTT